TACTTATGCCAACTTAAACCAACGTTACGCTAAACTTAAAGCCACAACGAGCAAATCTTACAATCGCATGCCGTTCACTCGCAAACTCGTGTATCTTATAATACTTTCTCTTCCCTGACGTTCACGCAACGAAAACAAAAAGAAAAACAAGAAGCAAAAAAAAAAAAAAAAACACAAGGGTCTTCCTTCTCAGGGTGGTGTTATGTAGAAAACGCACGGAAGGGTTAAGGCGTGACGATTCGCAGCCTCGTCCTGTTCGAAGGACTCGACAATGGTCGATCGTGTTCCGGTGGTTCGCTCAGTACTTTATATACCGTGGATTTGTGAAGCGAAACAGAGATGAGCGGGAGAGACAAGCCAATATCCAAGCGTCACTAATATCGACACATATTTCACGCGGACTCTGCGGAGACGGCAAAGCGTGAATTATGGCGACTCGTGTATTGTTCGAGGAGGACGCGACGCATCCACTTGTACGGGGGGCGAGATTGTACGTCTCTTGGAAAAGAACTCTACGTAGAGGGCTGTTGGAGAGATTAAAAGCGTGCCTCGTAGGTATAGGCGTTCGTGGGACAGTCTGCGCCTGTATGGCAACTACGTCCTACCGTACAGGGTGAATTTATTTTCGTTCGATAAACCCTCCAAACTTCCTTCTACGTAATCGCTGGATTTCTACGATAAAAATCCTTCCGTTAGGCGTACCGATAATCCACCGTTTCTGTCGAAATTCAACGTGTTCCATCGAGTCAACGAATTTCAGTTAACCCCTTAACGTTCACATTTCTCAAAAATGATCAATTCCATTTATAATTATTCCTAGGCCTGTAGAAATAAATTTCCCGTTTATCTGTGACTTCGATATTTGCAATGGAGTAGAAAGGCCAGCGCGATGTGAAGAGTCGAAGAAAATAACGAGCAAAAATTGCACTCTTTCGAGAATCGATTGTGTAAGACAATTATGATAATTATCACTCTAAATAGAATGTTCGTAAAGGAAAAGATACATCTAGCAAGTACGCTTTCAAGTCATTCACCCTGTACAAGCGTTAGTGTGTCCTGCAAGCGCGTGTGTGTAACGAATAATTGTGGGCGTGTAACCGATGTTCGAAGATTCCCCGTCTAATAAATAGCGAGCGCGCGCGGTGTTAAATAAATAAAGGGAAAGCCAGAGAAACCTCTCTCCCTCTCTCTCTCTACCCGTCCCGCGAACTTTCCAAAGTAGCTTGCACCCGACCGTGGAAACTTTACGGACGGGCCTCCGGCTAATATTATCGCAGCTGTGCCACCTGAGTTTTCCAACGGTGGAAACCTGATCGTTGGTAAACGTGGCGGCCGGTTTACAGAACTTTCGCTAATTTGTCGAAACGCGAGTTTGACCGAGTTCCGATTTACGACGGGTCCATCCGCGGGAACAGACAGATCGCTCGCGATCACTCTTTCGTCTGGGGGATCCGCACGGTACGATCCATTTCTTCCACGAGCTTCTTCTTTCAGTAATTCATCGACTAAGAAAGCGTGCACGAGTCGAGGATTTCTGTTGCGGAACCGCGGTTGGCCCTTCTTCAACCCTTTCGCCGATATCTATCACTTTTCTTTTTCTTCCTTTTTACGGAGAATCGAGAATTTTTGATTTAGCTCTCTGTCAGTTTGTAGGAAATTCCGATAGAGAAAGGGTTGAAACGACTCATCCAGCGGTGTCTGTCGCAGAAGAACATCCTCTACTCGTTGGAAAAGGCGGGTCGTTGTCTCTGTCAATACCGAACGAAAGAGTCTAGCCTTCGATCGCCCTGGAATCGCAACAGTCTCGCGTACGAGTTTGGCTGAGGCTCGGCACGCGATATTGGTTGGTGCACAGGCTGGCTAAACTGCTCCTGATACGTGGCGTCATCTAGACTCGTCGCGTCGTCGCCGTACACAGAGGTGGAGGCAGGTTGTAGTCGGCGAAGCTGCTGCGCGACAGGTTCCTGGGTCTGCAGGCTCTTTGGTATTCGATAGTCGATCGCCTGGACCACTTGGACCTGATCTTCTCGACGGAGGATCGGTCTGTAGGTGGTTGGACGTTGGTATTGCTGTTGCGTTAGCAAGGTGAAAGAGGGAGAAGAAGGAGACGAGGGCGGCGACGACGACGACGACGAAGTGGATAGCTCGTACGGATTAACCAGACCGACCGTCTGTCCCTGCCCTCCGCGATGCACGTTCTGCAACACAAGGACAGAGACAGGGTGTTATGCATAGGCCTTTCGCAAATGGACAGATTCGCGATTTCGTTTCTCTCTTCCAATCACCGAGGCACCACTTTCACGCTGGAAACGCTCGAGAACCGTTTAGGAGATTTTTTTGTTTTTTTTTTTCGGACGGTGAAAGACACGCTAAAGCGGAGAGACGCGGCCCGCTTGGAAAATCCGTAAATCGGTGAACGTATTGTCGTCCAGGCAACGTCCGCTGACAGCCAGATATCCACTCAAATATTGACAGAGACAAATTCGCCGTGGAACAATACCGAGGGAGGGCCTGTGTATTGACTGTTCCCGCGAAAGGCTCGTTTGTTTCTGCACATTCGGTCTCGCGTTTACGCGACTCTTGTTCACCATTGCAGCAGCGAAAATCGCGGGGGAGAAAAAAGATAGTATCGCGCGTAGAAAAGAAAGGATCGACGACGAGTAGGAATTTTTTGGTCGATACATTTTCCAGGGCAAACAGAAGGGGCTGTGTATATAGATTATTCTCGAGGGGGAGTGGAAATTCGAGCACACGAGACGAGGGCAGATTACGAAACATTTCGGGCGTAATCGGCTCGCGAGATGTCGATGGAATATGAAAGCAAGCAGAAGTTGCTTTTCGCCGAGGAGAAACGTGACACAGAAGCATCAAGTCAGGCTAAAGACGATGTAAATCGATCGAGAACGGGTAAAAGCCTGCTCGAATCCCTTTCAATTTGTACAATACTCTGCTCGTTTCGAACGATACCTTTTGCTATCTTTCCAACACGTTCCTCGTCCTCTGATCAACGCACAAGCCATTTTTTTCGATTATTCCAAATAAAGTAGCACGAAAGGACAACAAACACCCTGTTTCTACGCTGGACACGCACGTAACTCGATCCCAAGAATGTCGGTCGCAGGTCGGTCTTATTAGCAAAGAGGTGGGGACATCGCGTATAAAAGATCCAAAAGCCGGGCGTGCCTCTTCTTGCCGAGCTACAAGAACCCTTTCCAGCTTACCTGCGGCGAAACTCCGAGCATCTTCAGGGACGGTGGCACGTTAAGACTCTGCGGAATTTTCACATGGCCGAAGTCGACGGTGAACGCCTCGCACCAGACGCCGAAGTGGCCGATCTGGTGGATCGTTAGATCCCCGGGCAACGTCAGCACGATGGCCTTGCGATCGTATCGACGTAGCGGCACTTCCTTGCCGTTCTCGTCAGGAACACGGATACCTTGTGGCGACGGCGTTGGCCCGGCTCCCACCCAGAACTTTGCGTCTGCGGAAAATAATTCGATCGTGCATTAAGAATGAAGCGAATTCCAGCGAATCCACTTTCAAGTGGTATCCCATAGACAACTTTTTGACAGGACAAGAGGTTGGAGGAAAGGCGTTTCGGAATCTTACCAGGTGCCTCGCCGTCGTAGCTGAAGCTAGGTATCAAGAGCGTTTGAGCGTCGACGATGACGATGGGTTCGGAGCTGACCCCGTGGACTCCGCTCAGAGCTGCCAATTTCTGCGGTTTCGGGTAGTCGAAGCCTCGTGTTATTCTCACGTCTCCAAAGTTCACCTGGAAAAATTCGTCAACCACGTAACGAAACGAAAGGACGAACACGGGAAGTAGTTGTGCAAGCTGGTCCGTTGAATTGAAATTCGAGCGTTCCGCTGTCGTTCCATCATGATCCAGCTTTATCATTCCGGAGTTGTACACGCGGAATCTGGACATTGCGGTTTCGAATAAATTTTCGTCGCGTTGGCAATATCGGGGACGTAAATTTCCACTTCTAACTCCACCTGTCCCTCTTTCCATTCGAAATTTCGTAATAAAAGGTGAATTGAAACTTAACTCTCGGTTATAATTGCACAAACTAATCCCCATCGCGATAAGAATATCGGACAATCGAGTTTAATTCGCGAGTGGGTGGTGTTTGGCGGGCGTTCGTATGGCTCGGAGCCAGCTAAAGCAATTACTTTCTATCCGTTGGCCGCGGAGGAACGCATGGCAACAAACTACGAGCGTGAAAGTTGCGCGGCAAGGAAACGATACCGGTTTCTGTACCGTGCAAGTGGAATCGAAGCGACACCGAAGGTCACGAGCATGATATGTACGTTCGTGTTACTCACGGAGAATTCGTCGCACCACACCGAGAACCACTTGATGTTGCCCAGCGTCTTGCCATCGGGTAACGTCAGCGTGATGTCCTTCCTCCGGTACCGTTTCAGCGTGTCCGTTCTGTCGCAAACCGATCAAATCGTCTTCTATCGTTCAAAACCTTCTAATTCACAGTGCCGCACTATGCGGTGAACCCTTCAATTTACAACTGTACTATCGACGAATGAAAGAAAAGAGAAGGACTTACGATCCACGCTCATCTCGAAGCCGAATTCCATTCCCGTTCGGGCTCTTCGAAGTGCCCACGTAAAAGTAGGCAGCTGAAAAGAGACAATTTTACAATTGCCCGAGATTACCACACGACTTACCTCATTTCTGACACTCGCTCGATCATCCGGCTGCTATGAAAACGTCCTCAAACTCACCGCGCACTTTCCTTTCCCTAGCTTTCTGGACCATTGAGAATTCTACCGGCGAATATGTGCGTTGCATAGAAGAGTGACCTTCTAACGCCGGCGAAGGCTCTCGATTTTATCGAGCTGCCGCGTGTATGAAAGTGAGAGTAGTCGACAGGCCGAAAGGTAGAGGTGGCAGAGGCGTTTTATAACCGCGGTTATCTTAACCATAACTAACGACATACTTAACGTAACGTAGATTTCTATAGTAGATTTCGTAGGTACATATATATCAATGGGAATTGAAAGAGGAACGAACAGAGACAAAGTTGAAGAGTGGCTGGAAGTGAGTCCACGGAACATTTGCCGCTCCTTTCGACCGTCGCGAATCGTCCGTGTAAAACAAACAGGCTGGCACGGAGCGTGATTGGTCAGAGTAGACGTTAGATATTTTCAAGCGATAGCCGAGGAAATCGTGAAATGTCAGGAGTGGTTTGCGAGCGGGACGGTTCAATGCACGGCAGCCTTTTCCGCGGAAAACCAACAATCAGCCGGGTGAACGACGCGACGCGCGCGAGCGCACAGAAATGGGAAAGTTTCGCGTGTTTCTTGGCTACGAACTTGGTGCTTCGCCGTCGTACGTGAAGTCCTTGATGAACAGAGTTCGCCCGTCCACCGCGTACACTTCACCGCTCACGCCGTGATGAAGTTCCGACAGCTTGCCGATAAGCTTTCCGTAATAAGCCCCGCTGCATACCTCTGTAAACACAATCGAGGTTAATTAATTAGCGGAGTTTAATGATAACGCGAATATCGAAAACGGCGGACAAGAACTCGCTGCGCCTAGTTTTTTTTTAACGACATTCCGCAGCTTAGGCAAATGGATTCGAACGAATCCAAGTTCTCGTTTATTTATTTTTCCTTCCGAGAAGGAAGAATGTTACGAAGCTTGTTTTCGAACAGGAGATTCGACGAGATTGGTAATACGACTGGTGCGTGTACGAATCAGAAATCGAGGGCCAGCAGATCGTTACGAATCGCGATGGTATGCAAAAGTGAGTTCCTCGAACGGTTGCTGGGCCTTGGAAGCGGCGTGGCATGTGGGGTAGATCGAATGTGTCGCATTCTGTTCGAACCTCGTGCCTTCTAACTTGCTCGTGACAATTTCCTACTTCCCGAGAGCTCGCCCGAAACGCCTCGACGTCGAAAGATCGATCATTTTCGCGGTGGATGCGGGACAGGTTGACGGACAGGATATGCGGGAGAACCATCAGGGTCTACTTTCAATTTGTTAATCGTGCTGATACAACGTTATGTAAAATGGAGGATAGCAGAAGGAAGGATCTCGAAAGCGGAGCAAGTTTTCTAAAGGAGAAACGAGCCGCGAATACGAGATGTCAGTGGAAAGTTCAGGTAACAGCTCTCGAGTAGAATGGGCCAGGAGGAGACGAGGGTTAGCAGTCGCATAAATATGCGAACGGAGGACGTTGAACGTCAAGGCCAATCCCCGTGGCGTGGATCGTTCGTTAGATGCTAACGAACCGGTCGACGATCGTGTCTCTAACCCCTTTGATCGACCACGTACCGTTATCGGACAGGATATCGTCAATCCGACGAGATTGACGCGTGCTCGGGCATAAATCCTCGCTCGCGACGTTCACGAGCGCTACCGTACACGAGACGCTCAGGATACGAACGGACGAACGAATCGAAAGCACACGGGGGAAAAATCGACACGATCCGAGGAAAATTAGATACGTCGTTGAGAATGATCCGTGTGCGACGTTTCGCAGTGCCGTTAACTGTCGCTGGTAATCGGTGATGTAACGTATGGGATGGAGAAGCTGTACCACTTTGTTCCGCAGCTTGGTATTTGATAATTGGACAAAAATGCGTTGTTACGCTCCTAGAGCGAAGCCGGACGCGGCACGTTTATGCATCTGGATAAGGTAGACACGTCCGAACCATCCGTCTTCGACCACTTTTTTTTTCCTATTACAAGTAGCCAAACTTTCGTCGTTTTCTTTGGGTCGTTAACACGTTCACCGACTCATACCTGTCTCTAAAAAATGACGAAGAACGATTTTCTTTCGCTGCGATCGATTCCCCTCCCAATCTACCGGCGAAAATTCGCTTTCCATCAGCCACACCGGCCATTAAGTCGCGGCGTGTAATCTTGGAAGCGCGGTCTTGTCATTGATCGAACGGCGTAAACACGCGTAACGAATTGGACGCGCGCGCGGCCTGCAGATTTTCTTTGAGGAACGCGGTTATTGCCGCTCCTCTAATCAACCTGCCGGTTGATCGATCGAGCTTTCCGCCGTTCTCCATTTTGCCCTTATTATTTGCATCCGCGAGTTCTCGATCGATGCACGCGCGCGTTTCGTTTCCACGCTCTCGTTGCCGTTTAAACGCTTCGTTCTGGGACTTTTAATTAACGAAAAGGCTCGTTCGTTTTTCTACAGTTAAGATTTCAGCCTGCAATCCTAGCTAGAGTTCTAACGGAACTTCAGACCAGGAACAGCTTTATCTTCGTCAACACGCGACGTTAAGACGCGGCTGGAGAGCGTCTCTATCGGGAGAATTTGTAAAAATTGGAAGGTTGGATGACACGTGGACGAATCTAGGGCGTAGCCGTGCAGTCTTGGGTATCAATCGCTAATGAGAAGCCGAACCGTCAAAGCAGCGTCGGTTTCGAGCGCCCAGAGGATGCATTACGTCGTTCCGGCCGCGAGCCATTAGTGCGTAATTATTGTCGCGGTAACGACACCGTTGGAACGTGATTAAATTGTTACGAGCCTGGCCCAGGACGCATTTGCACCGGTGAGCAACGATAAAAAGCGGGACGGGCAGAGACCGAGGGAGGAAAAAAAGGAAATGCAAGATTACTTTAGGAGTGAGCAAAGTGGGAAGCACGAGCCGCGTGTCTAATAGACATAGCCAGGAAATTTGGGTCAACGAGGTTGCTTCGAGATGGAAAGAAAGAGAGATAGACCTTTGACATTTTCATACGAAAGAGAAAGCAGAAGGCAGACAAGCGTAATTGCCTGCCTCTGCATAATACGACTCTCGCGAGGCTAATGTTGCAACGCCTAGTGAATTTCTATGGATTCGCGGTAATAGAGAGTGAAACGGGTTGATTTGGAAACGACAATTTGATCCGGATCGAGCCGATAGATTTTTCTTCCACCCTTCCGCTCCTGCCTTCCCGTCGCGCACCTTAAATTGGGATATCGAGTTTTGCATCTTCCACCCCTGTAATCCTATTTTCACCGGAGCATCTGAATACGTCTGTTTACTCGCTTCTCGAGACTCTCCGCCACTCTGAAATTATACAAGAGGGTGTGCAAGTCTCCACCCTCGCTTTTCCTCCGGGGAAACATAAAGGACGCGACGTCTTCTATTTTTGAGTATCAGCCACGGCTGCGCCGTCAAATTTCAAGCGTTATCATTGTGAACTGAACGTCGGAATCGAGGTCTAGAGTGCTCTTCCCTTCGATTGAACGAGAAATCAATCGAATCGAACAAGTTCAAGCGGAATTCCTCGTATCGCGTCGATCTGGAATTTTCCAGCGAGATTTCGGGGTCCGAGGCGTGGAAAGATTTCCCTCCCATTCAAGGCGCGCTCTCTGTAAACAACGCGTTTCCCTGTTTACACGCGGCCCCAATTAATCGAGTAATTCCTCCGTGTCTTTCGCGCGTGGCCACTGGACCGAGACCCGCGCACCGACACGGCGCCTCGAACGAGGGAGAGAGAGAGAGAGAGATTTTTCTAGCGGGTCCATGCCCGATCGGGCACACGGATACCTGCCTGACAGAATGTGGAAAGGTAGTCTCGTTCGTTACACAACCGTGAAACGCAGAAATCACCTGCGACGAGAATAGATCGTGCCAATAGAATTCGATCCTTAGTCGAACCAGCGTGGATAATAATGTGGTAACACGAGGAACTACATGTTGCGACATCGCGAGCAGCGTCGCGAAATTGTCAGCTAAGAGTATAAGTCGTTCGGACTGAACGGACACTTGGAGGAAAGGAGAACAGAGATTCTCGGCGAATGTAAACGAGAAAATTTCTCTAGTTTATTTCACATCCTCCGATCCACGGAGGAAAAGCGTGGAACGCGAAGAAACAGACCGGCAAATCGACGTCGTACGAGCTCTACAAAATCCGCACCACCCTTAATTAGACGATCTTACGATAATTGTTTGAGCGAAAGATCGATTCTCTCGAAATTCTTTTTCCCAATCTCGAATGAAAGTCTCGGGGACACCGTTTCGTTGATACACTCTGGAATCGCGCATTGTCAGGCGTCCGATTCGCCGTTAAATATCCGCGACGCCTGCAAACTCCCGGTGTAATTTCCCATTGACGCGCGCGCGAAACACTGCACTTTGTTCCGCGCACGCAATCACCGGGCGACACTTTGCGACCGATGTTTCGGCTGAATGGGCGAACGCGCCAACACCTTTACAGCCTGCAGCAACCAGAGGAAATAGGGAAGTACAGGCCTAGCGACTTGGTAACGCGTTGCAGATTTTCACGACGCGATTTTCAACATCGAACCCCCCCCCCCGAAGGGATGTTTGCGCACGTTGTTTACGCGATGCAGTCGCATCCCTTGCAAATACGTTTCACCGTGAACAATTCCAACTGGCAACTTTGCTCGAATAACGTACCGTGCTGTACGAAATAGTAGAAACGCGAACGATTTGACGAACAGGAAGGGTACCGGTGAAAAGTGAATTTACAATACACTCGGACCAAGATTTTTGGAAAATTTTCTGGGTGTTAGTGTGTGTGACGGTGAAGTGAACTCACGTGTCGCCAGTAGAAGATAGAGCGTCGCGACAAGACCGATAGCGGAGAGTCGAGTCGAGGACGATGTGGGTGATTGTGTCGTCATGGCGTCTTCGTGGTTACTGCCGTCGAAAGTGGCCGTCGTGGATCCAAGTAGCTTTGTCGATCCCACTACGATCACCGGCTCGCCTTGCTTCACCTCTCGGTCTCTCTTTCTCCTCGCCCCACCCCCTTCTGCTCTGCTTGCTCCTTTGAATCCATCATTCCGCCTCGCTTTTCCCTCTTTCGTCCACCCCTCGATGTTTTCGTTCCCTCCTTTCTTACGTTACTCTTACATCCTTCTTGCCATCTTCTCTGAACAGCGTGTGCGTGCGTGCGAGTGTGTGGAAGGTAGGCAAAAACTTCCCTTTCCTTTGTTTTCTTCTCTGCTCCGACTGTATCCTTGATCGTCAGAATGGCTCTACTAGAAGACGTTGCGTGTCCTTGGGAAGAAGGAAAGGAGCGCAAAATAACGGAGCACGTTTTTGCCGAGGACAGCCGGTGGAGATTGCGTTTTTCGGTGCATTCGCGGTGCAAGACACGACGAATGGGTACGAGGCAGGTCAGGGTGGAAGCGGAGGAACGCGGTTGCAGTTTTACACCGCAAGATCGCGACCACCAGCCGGCCTGGATATGCTGGTAGGATAAAGGAGCAATAGGTGACACTGGAGCTGGCCTGTCCGCCTCGTGACAACCACCAACCGAACAATTGCTCTACTTTGTTTCACTTTGTTCTACCAGTCTTTCGCTCTACCTATATTCGCCGGGCTGGTGAATAGAAGAACCGTTTCCAGCGCGCTATTCGCAGCTACCTGGACGATAAAAAGCATGGAACTGCCGAAAGGGGACACAGACTCGACGACGGGTTTCTTAAAATAAGCGTGACAGTTAGCTCGAAGAATCGAACTTTGTTCCGTCCATTTCGAGAGGATATTTCAGACGTTTTCGTTCGTCTTTCCCTTTTCTCTCTCTCTCTCTCTCTTCTTTGTTGAAACGTGTGCAAAGTTAGGTGGAGCAGAAGGAGTAAATATAATTGAATTTTCGCAGCGTCGTGCTCGCTCAATTTGGCACGGGAAGTAGAGGTTAAAGTTAGATGAGATGATTGGTCGCAGTGTGCAGCATCCGAGAGTAGTTGGTTAAGTCGAGCGGTGAAATAATGATCGGCTCATACGCGAGATAAAACCAAGTGGCCTTTGTTCCCTCTCTTTACGACCCCCCGTGTAAACAGCGAAGAGCGCTTAAAGAAGCACCGAACACTCTCACGATCTCGGTATCCTAACTTGGTGAAAACTTTCACAGGCCCGGGTCCTACGGTTGTGGAATTTTAATTCCGTCTGATACCACCGCCGCTTCACCACCGTTCGAATTAAAATTCCTTTCCAACTGTGCACAATTGAAATTTTTCCCTAAACCGCGATACACGGCCTGCGGGTAATATCCAGCGAATTACAGAAAGCACGAATAGCCTGGGAGACAGGAAACGGTGTGTAAATGCACGAGCCTTTCGTCGCGTGCTGGTAAAAGCTGGTACAAGCATAGAGAAAGAGAGATGGAGATAGGAAAAAACTGTCGAGCCAATTGTCCGTCTGTTGTCGCCGTTGCGATTGGAAAGATACATAGAAACGATTACACGCGTCACTTGGTCATTGTCTTGCGCGACAATAGCCAGGGTGGATTGGGAGAATGGCGGGATAGTAGGTTGCACGTGCCGTCCGCTCGAAGGATCTTTCTTCCTCCTCGTCGCGAGCACTCTCTCGCGCGGCCTGTGATTAAATTTAATCTCGCCTTCCTATGCGAGTAATAATTACGGAATAATTACGCGAACCGCGGTGTCGGCGTCTTTCCAGTTTGGAAAAGAACGTTATTACGGAACTGCTAACAACGATTACGCTGACGACGCGCGTTTAACACCCAACTGGTAGCGTATTCTTCTATTATTTCCAATTCTGCCCGGTGGACGGCAGATTTGATCCTGTGCCGCTTCAATAAATTCAGAACGATCAGTTTGAAAATGAATCGTACATAGTACATATACATATGTACACATGTACATACGATTGCTTAGTTAGAAAGCCTCGTTTTATAGCTGGACTCTAAGGATTTCGTGGCATCGGGTGCTCTCCATTCTTTCATGGCTGGACTGGTATGCGGGCCGGTTGTATTCCTACAGAAACCAAGAGGTTTCTGTTCAACCTAGAAACCGCCTTCCGCGGCCGGAGAAACGGCCGGCTTGGTAATTAGAAATGATTATTACTCACGCACCGGTCTTGTTCGTCGCCTTTTTTTTTTTTTCTCCAACTTGCTTGCGTTTATCCCCTCGTCCATCGAGATCCATCGAGATCCACCGAGATCCACCGATATATGTACATACATACGTGCGGTTAATAACTCTGGCCGGTGATTATCCTTCGTAAGAGACTTATATACTTATATTCTGTACTTCTCCTTTGGAATAACGACGCCGAATCGAATCAGAACTCGTTGAATGAGCGACGAAACGGGAGAAGCAGGCGCTCAGGTTGAAAGTGAAATCAGTATTGCGGAAAGAATGTTTGCGCGCAAGGAGCAATTGAAGACGCCAAGTAGACACGGTAAAACGGGCCTGCGGAACGCGAGAGACCGCCATTTTCTTGGTGACTCGGATGCCTCTGGTAAACGCGAACCTCTGTTCTACCTTGTGGCCGTTCTTCCGTAGGATCGAAGCCTCGTTGACGCGTTTCCACGCGAACATTCGAGTTCTTTGACGGGCGAACGATGGATAATTGCGGCGGCGGCGGCAATTACCACGCTTGCTCGTGTTTCACTTGCACTTGGCCATGCTTATTAGGGGAAGTTAATGAGTTTCGTTGATGAATTAACGAGAGAAAATTGTTTTCACGAGTGCACTGCCCCGTCAAGCCTCTCGACCGTGTCCCGATGAAATTGATTTTCTAATTTAGACGCGTGCATCGCGAAGAAAACGGAACGAAAACAAGAACACGCGTTCCATGGCACAATTACCCCGTGTGTCGCGATTTATTCCACCGTTTTTATTCGAGAGAGCGATCCTAGCTCGCTTTCCTCCGCAGGGATCGTCGATCGATCGGTCTAGATCAATCGTTAACCGACGAAAGTTGCGTAAAAGGGGGGTTACGTAAGGATTCAGGGCGGCGAATTCTGCGAACCGACCCGAGTTGCGAAACGAGGAAAGAAAGAAAGAAAGGTTCGGATGATCCCGTTCCTTTTCTAAAAGAGACTCGTCGGACCTCTCTTCCTCTTCTGTTACGCAAGGTGGAAGTTTCAGCGTTGCGGTTAATCGCGCTGTATTAAGGTTGTTACGCATTCGGCGTTCGCTATACGACGTACACGCTTTACGACAGGAAAGTGTCGGGTGATGGAGCGGAGAACGGGCCACTGTCCGTAAATGGCGGGACTTTCTCCGTGCGGAAAGGTTGCAAAGGAGCAGGGTCAAAGTCTTCTTCTTTCGAACATCCGAAACATCGCGTACCGAAACACCGGAGACTCTTCGTGTCCCTGAATAATCTTCGTCCGCTGTGAAATGACGAGACGAACGGTTGCAAAACAATGCCACCGCCGGGAGGAATTTTATGAATTACCGATTCATAGAATCAATTAAGAAGCATTCCAGAGGCATTTTCCCAGGGATTTTACGAATTTGGACGGCGATCGTGTGTCCTGCACGGGCCCCGTTCTCACGTCCGTCGTCTCACCGTGTTGCGTCAAGGGAAGAGACTCTGTTACGTAAGAACCGGTGGTTTTTGCAACGCTAGGTAAGACGGCTACACGACCTGCTCAACATTTTCCACTCTGTTTCGTCTAAATTGCACGCGCCGGAGACGACGCAACACGGTGTACATATCTTAAAAATCGCGCTAGAATCCTTTGTTACGCTCCTAGGGTGGTCTACTACTTGTTAAACGGTCCCACGATCGATACTCGATTACAGAACGCAGTCGTTGTAGTAATTAACACGTCCACTGACCAGCCAATTTCCATCCTTCTTCGTCTCGCCGTCTGACGTCGCGAGATTGCTCGATATTCAACTTTGTGTCGTTATCCAGTTACTTAGAATCCCGTTTTTATGGCTGTATCAGAGGGTCGAGTACTATGTCGTTTGACGATCACCGTCACACCGGTCAACCCGTTAGCATTCACCGCGGAGCTTTCTAATAAAAATCCAAGCATCTGGCGAGGAAGAAACGAGTCGCGTTTTAAATTCTATTCGGAAAACGCTGGCAGGTTTTTAATTACGGTTCTTTACGAGCGAGTTAATCTACCGGGCCATTCGTCATCGAGATAAAAGCGGCGCGGCGCCGCGACAGGACGCGAGAGTAGGATATCCCGGCGCAGTGGAAGAATCCTGGCGCGAAATGAAAGAGTGGAAAGCGATCGGCCGGTTTTTCGGGGACTCGGCGTTTTTCGCGATTTATGAACAATTAAAATTCATGGATTTTCCAAGGGAAATCTGTGTCAGGAAGCCGCGTCCACGGGAACTTTCCGAGATTCTCGTAATTCACCTGCAGATATAAAGATATCGCAATCCATAAATAATCTTTCCCATTACTTCACGGCTCCGTCGTGTTATCGTTCCATATGGCTGATTCTATGCATACTTAAGCGATCTTTTATGCAACAGAACAGGCACACCTGACTCATATACGAGCGAAGATAATCGAGTGGTTGAACGCCCCGTGTCAACGGCACGCTTTTGTCGCAGGATTGAACGCACAATCGGGATCTCCCTCTGAAGGAATTCCACTCCTCGTTCGAGTTACTTGAACGCCTCGAAGTGAAAGGGCAGCGGTCGTTCTTCTGGGTGATATCGCGAAGAAAAACACCTAAGAGACGAGGATGAGAAAGTTTCATTACCGTGGAGTTTCGTCGATCGTGGAGGTTAGCCTTCCGGTTTCGAAGCGTTGCAATCTCCGCGAAACGACACGGCGAAGGTACTAAAACTTACAACTATCCTAAAACTGGGATACCTGGCCTCTTTCGGCTGGGGACGTTGTTAAAGTCCCGCTTTAAGCAACTTTAACGCGTTATCGATCAGTTGGCCGGGTCTCCAGC